TTAGATTCCTTCACCCGAGAGTCACTTGTGATAGAGATACAAATAAGTTGAGCATATTTAATGAATTTTACTCTTGATGACTACTTTGCTTGATCTGTTAATGAAATACATGTTTCCTTAAAAATTGTCTTTTCATTTGTTTTAGATGTCAAATAATTAATATAATTAATTAATTAATAAAATTCGTGCGTTAATCGATTCATTTAAAATTTATGATGAGAGTTAGCCACCGCTTATATAAGCTGGTATATATCGGGTGCTTCGATGGACTCGTCTTTTATTCTATTTCCTCCATACTATTATAGAAATTTAACAGCATTAAAAAATCTTATCATTCGATTCGATTGTTTACGACTGCAGTTTATTATAGATTGTATTTTATTTTTATTATATTTTATTAGTTATGTAATTGCATTTCTTTTTTCATTTTTCATTTTTTGACGATTTTTCACGACGATTGTTACAAATCGAAAGGAAAAGAAAAAAATTGTAATTAAAAATTACAGTTAAAATTATAATTTAAAATTTAAAATAATTTATATTTAATATGATATTTAATATTTAATATTTAATTGATATCTAATTTTTAATATCTAATTTCTATATTTAATATAGAATAAGTGAATTTTCAATTTATTTAGGTTTATTAGAACAAATTTTTGATGCGACATGCTAGTGAATGCGAATGTGATAGATAACAAACCCACATTTCGGTAGCGGATGGTTTTTGAGTGATAAAGCAGCGTTAAAGATGATTTGAGCAAATGTGAGCACTAACGAAACAAGTGATAGCGAAATCAAAAATTTTTTTAATCGTCCTGAAATTCGCATAACTTCAGTCCACTTAATTCTTTTTTCGTTGTGATACCGCCGAATCCAAAGCTACTAATCCATCTATTACACTTAAACTTATTGACGCTCTTTTTTCTCTGAGTTTCTAACATTGATTTTAAAAAACCTCAGTATTGGAATCAATACTAGAATTTTAAAATATTATAAATACCATTGTTGCATTGTCATTCCTCTGAATTACATAAATTTTTCTTTTATACATTTATCATCGCTTATTATAACTCCATACTACTCCATACAAAAAAAATGCTTTTTATGATTTATCAAAAAAACAAAAAATTGGCTTATCATCTGGATAAACTTATGAATTACAAAATAAAATATGCAGCATTCACTTTTAAAATTTTTGGCATAAAACGTAACCAGTGATTATATTTACGATTATAGGAATCAAATTTCACAAAAAAATGCTTTCCATTATAGGTATATTCGAAAGATTGCAAAAAAATATTAAAGGATTATTAAATTCATTAAAACTTACTAAATTTCGGTTCATTTATTGATGGAAAACAAAAAGGGTAAATTAAAATGAAAATTCCATATATGAATGAAAACAAATTGACACGCATGAGGCATGCTGAAAAAAGGCATTCTTTCGATAAAATGTTAATTAGGCACAAAAAATTTGTACAGTTTAAGTAATAATTTAAGTATTGTATTTTGATTACAACATTGACTTAATTTTGATCTTCGCAATTACGATAATTTGATCTTTATATATTTAAGTTTTATCGCAAAATTTAATTCATTTTTCTATGAGAATTAATAATGAGAGAATTATTATAGTTTTTAAGGCGTTAAGTTCAAATTTATTGCTTTTTCGATAGCAAAAACAATTAATATCGATATCTTTTTGGATTGAATTTCGTTTGTCATTAAATAAATATTATGCAAATATGCTTTTATAAGCTTATTTTATCGAAAGATCAAAGATAAAAATCTACCTGCGAGAAGTATTATTGGCAATGTGACATAATAAAACAGAATATATGCACGTTCACTGAATCCCATATTCTGCAAAATTTGCCAAAAAAAATCAAAATAATTTATAAGAAAACGATTCGTTAGAAATCAGCTGAGTGACGCCGATGAAATGATGGATTTTTAAAATCTTGTTTTAAATTCATTTTTTTTGATGAGGTATAAAATTCACAAATTAGAAGAGATATAGAAAAAGAAAAATTTTTTGAAAACAACGCTATGAAAACTAAAATCTCAGAAAAATGTTAAGAGTTCATTAAGTTTTGATAATTGATCTGCTATTACAAATCATTCTATTACTACATTTGCATAAGACGGATAGTAAAATCAATAGCAAAAAGAAAATTTTTTTTACACTAGAAAAATAATTAAATGTTTTTAGGCTTTTCAAAACAGGAAGTTATAATAAAAAAAGGAAAAATGTTGGATTAATAGAAATTATATACGAAATTCTTTCTTGGTTGCTGGCAAATTTTGCATTTTTACTGAGAACTATTATAAGAGATATTCTGGAAAAATTGTCAGTCAGTTCTTTTGACAATCACTTTACACACAGTCATTTGTTGTCAGTCATAACCATCAATGATCTTTCCCAAACATTTTTTTTTAACTGATTATTAGCAAATTTGATTAAGTAGAATTTTGCCTTACAGAACTGAAAATTTACTGTTATTATTGATATCTTTATGTATTTGAATTTCGAATAATTATATTATGCTCTTCGTAAAGTCTTATAATTTTTCATCACATAAACGAAATTGAAATCAATGTCTTAGATGGATTCCTTAGTTAATGCTTCTCTCAAGAATTCTTCCTTCATTGGTTTATTTTCACCTAGCAACCAACGAGATTTATCGCACTGGAGTTTTGAACGTCTTAATGCAAAATTTACTAAAATTGTCTGTAATTAATCTGTCATTTTGGTGCTTTCAACCTGACTGATTGGCTTGAGCTGATTAAATTACTCACTCTTTTACATCGTTAAATTTTATAAGACGATACATATAATTTTTTCTTAAAATAATCTTTACTCACGAATTGGAGAGAATTTTTAAGAAATAATTGTTGGCAATTAAAATTTCTTTTTTAAGCACAAAATTTCGTGATCTCGTAGGATACTTTGAATATCCTAAGTAATCTCATATAGTTCATCATTCGCAAAAAAAGATAAAATTTTGTTAAGGGAGGGAATCGAAATAATTTCATCGATTATTTACTAAGAAGGATTTTTGGAAAGCCTCTTAAAATTTTTTGAAAAATTTCTAATTTTAAATTACCAACAATTTTGATTGAAATTTTATAAATTATTGTTGTTCATCTACATTTTTCGACTAAAGTCTATATAACATTAAGCCATTAAAAAATTCGTGAATTTCTCATATTACTCATGAAAGTTCTTGTTTTTCAATGTTTTGTATTATTATCTAAATCAAGACTTTAGCAAATTCTGTTTTTTTTTAAATCACGAGACGAAAATAATTGAACATCATATTTGACCTAATTTACAATTTATACGAATAAGACGTGTGATGTTGATGTTACGAAAAGTTTTTTGCCAATGGTTTCATGCGAAAATAGCATTTGTATTAAAGTTCCCCTATAGTCCTCCAGCAACTCGCCGAATTTGATTTATGCTTCTTATCTAGTCTCGCAGATAGGGGGTGACAGAAAAGCGGGTAGAATGGCTCAGTAGGCTGTTGCTCTCATTTAGAACGCAGATGCTGAAGCTCCACTCACAAACAAGAGCAAACCTGTCTTTCAAAAATCCGAGTGTTGCTGGCGATCTATCAGCAATGAATCTTCTTGGCAAAACCATCTAGTCTGGTTAATCAGCAGAACGAGCTTAACCAAGGAAGAGCGCTCATAGTACTTTGGTAATTTATCTATTATCATAATGATGCTATATCATAATGATCTATTATCATAATTTATCTATTATCATTAACTATGCGAAAATATTTAATCAAACAGATTTATATGTTCATATTTCTCCAACCAGTTGAATCGATGGTTTTTTCATCATTTTCATTGCAGGCTTGCCTCGTTCTGATAAAGCGAATATCGCGTTTCAGGTGAATGTGCGAGTCATTTTTTTATAAAGAAATTTATGTCTACACTATGCTATAATTTAATAAGCGTGCAGTAGTATCATGCCTAGAAAAACAACTCACTTGATTAAAAATACTTAATTCACAAAAAGCAAAAGATGTGGGATTCTTCCTTTCCAAAATCACTGAAATGGCAGTTACTTGTGTTGGTTTTCTTGTTTCTTTAAATTTCCTTATAAGTTTTATAAGCTCACTAATTCTGCCATAGTATACTTTAAATCTCTTGTTCCTCACGAAGAATGAATATTGCACAGCTCATTAAACAAAGAACCTGGGTAATTAAATCGAAGAATATTTACTGATTTTTCAACGCCAATCAGATCTTCTGTACCACAAAATTATTCCAAATCATTTCAATGGAGCTCGTTCTTGTTTTATTTTAAGCCCCGTTGAATATTTTCTGCTTTTGTGATATATGAGTTAAATTATGTTGTTTCGTATTCTTTTTTATATTCTTATATTTAGCTTATGGTTATGTATTGAAAAGCGAAGATCTTTCTTTCTGCGTTGGAGGCCAATTGCTGCAACGCAGCAACAGTGGAGGAAAAATTATCGAGTTACAGATTTTGGCTAATATCGTGGGGTTCAATTTAATCTTGTTCACATCAGACCTGTTTTCTGCGCTTTGTAAATTTTCTTCGCTCATATCATGTTTGTTATTTATTTATTATTCTTTATTTGCCCCAGATATAAAGCTTACTTTTACCATTGTGTTTATCCTAGCGTCTGAGGAATAAGTAAAATGAGTTTGTTTTGGATGTATTGATGTTTAGGCCCATCTTCATCCATTGTTCTTAGCTACTGCAGCATTTTTTTAAATTCCACAATATTACAGCTAATTGTCGTCGGCAAAGCGCTATTGGTTTGACTTTCTTCTTTTTATTTTAATTCTGTTCTATTCTATTTGGATTTATTTCTCGGAACATCATTTCTAAGTTCGCACCGAAGAGAGTTGGAGAAACTGTCTTACCTTACATGGTATTCTGTTGGATTCGAATAATGATGTCCATTAAGCGAGATGTATTCACTTAAAAAGAAATAATGAGCTGCAAATTTGATATGCAAAGTGTTACGATTTCACACATGGCAGCACTTCGTCATGCACTTTGGTTCGAAGAAAATGCAAAAAATTCTACCATAAAAGTAGGGTTTTCCACATAACTCCCAGTTTTTAAGTGTCTTAACCAAATGATAATGGCTGGAATTGAATGTCGGCTCAAGAGAGACGCTAGGGATTTTTTAGAATGGTTATGTGGGTTATTTTCAGATTTGCATTACAGAGTTTTTATAGCCTTTTTATTTCTTGCATAATGCATGTTGATGATAAAGAAATTGTTTAATTCTTCTTACAGAAAACCAGAAAATGGTATCTGGAGAAATTTTATTTATTTATGCGTTTAGGTCGTTATTCGTTTAATTAAAGATATTCGCAACCGTTTCGAACAATTTGCTGCATTAAATGTATGGATTATTGAACTCGTTGTGAGTTTTTTTATTTAAATTTCTTTGTATATAGCAGATAATTTTTTAAAAAAGGTCTCATTTACTTTACTTTAAAAACTTCATTTGCTTTAACTTTAAAAACTTTAAGATTGTATAATTTGTATAATTACCAATTAATCGCTAGAATGTGGGATTTATCGTTTTTAATCGGTGTTTGTATGCTATAGCTTTTTAGTCAAGACAGTATTTCATTGAAATGAGAATTTTTAGTCACATTATGCAGTATTGAATACTCCATCGGATCAACCATTATCCACCAGTCAAGCTTTTTGCCGCTTTTTCCAGTTGCTGGCTGCTGGACTACTTTTGCCTACATCACCCGCTCTTCTCGATCCTTGTGAGCCGGATCGACGAATTCATCAATGTTTAACATATGAAGAGATGGTTCTTTTTTTACCTTTATTTGTCTCCATCTGCAACATCCCGTAACTTTCCTGTAATTTATATATGGTACTATATTTTTGCATTTAAACTTTGCATTTATTGTCCTACTTCGTTTTATTATAGGATCAGATATGTAGCGTTTCTCAAACATTGCTGCGGATCATATGTCATGGTGGATACAAACATGTACTTGGACTGGAAACATCAAAAGGAGGTTAGTTTTTATTTAAATGCGCAGATTTTTTCATAGAATGGCAGTGAAGTTCGTTGATAACAATCTCAGCATGCATTTTTATTTAGTGTGTTTTTTGTTATTTCTTATAGGTCTTGTAACTGAAACCACTTTTTGGGGTGACGTTGTTGTAACACCTCTTGAGGCAGCCTATACCGACAAAGTCATGGATCCACTCTTTGCTGAAGAAGTTAATTCTCAAAAGGAAAAAAGTGTTGGGATGGATTTGTAATAATTTTGCAATTTTAATGGTGTTTATTTCATTCTTTTCCGATTTTTTACATTCGAATGCGTCGCATTTTGAAACTCATCATGATTTTGCATATAAGCTTTTATCCATTTTGTGAAATGTATTCTTTAATTCGACAAACTCTTTCAAGTTATGATTATGGTTATCATATCTGAAGTTAATGGCGGACCTTTCTATATTTTTTTTGGAATATCAGGTCACCAATGTGATAAAAATTAAAGCTAATTTAATTCAAATCAAATCAGTATTTGCTCAAAACTGCAGTGTTATTTCAAAATCGAAGATGTCTGTAGGACGAAGAAAAAAAGAACTTGTTTAAGTCTTTATTTCCGCATTATTTCATCGGATTTTCTCCGTTTTCGAATTTGTTTTTGCAATATGAATGAAAAATTTAAATTCAAGATAATTTAAAATAAATAAATTCAAAATTTTTCTTGTTCAAATTCAGATTTTTAAGTTGTTTTTTTTTTTATATTTGTATTCAGAGCGGCTGCCTTAAATCAATTTTTCGCCTGTTAAGTCACTTTTCCGTGTTGGAATTTGTCCGAGTTTTTCTCAGCCGTAGATAATTCATTCAAATCATTCAAGTCAAATAATACATATGCACTTTTATGTATTGCTTTGCTTCGAAAAAGCGCCCACGCTCGGACGATTTTTGCAGTTTCTCACGCCATTACAATAGTTATCATGGTAGTAGAACGAGATTACAATAGTTATGGCAGGCAGGCATGAAACTAACGATAGGTAACGTTACACAAGGTAATTTTGACAGTTTCTGACTGACTGTTTCTCTAATAATAGATGATTTTAAATACGCAACTACGCAAAACGTAGCAATATATAATACAATGGAAAACAAAATATGATAATGGTAGAAGAGAATGGAAGTGAATGATAGGAATTCGGCGAGTTCCAAAACAGTATAATGAGATTCGGCATGCATTTTAAGGGAATGTAACGACGTCTGAAAATGTCGAGGGATTTACACAGGATTGAAGGCGATTCTGCTTATGATCTTTTTATTAAGATTTAAAGAATATTTTTGGAAAAATAGTTTTGCAGATAAATCTGTCACATAATAAGCAAGGTATTCGTTTTATTTACAGCACTATTTTTGCTGCCAATCATTCATTCAAAATTTATATCTATCATATGAATAAGGAAAAACTTAACAGGTTCCTTGGTTTCTTAGTGATTTACTTCCCGAGTTCTACTTTGTTTTTTCTCCTAAGAAATAGGACTAAAATCTCCAGGTACTCTATCTCCAGACAAGTAGGTATCAACAACTGTAGCAAAAATCATGTTCAGGATCCATGTAAATAAGGTTAATATACCAGATTCCGATAAATTTTTATCATTTCATAAAGGGTTGAAGAAGTGCTAGTAAATATCTTTCACCTTTTTAATTTTTTAGATTCACTCTAATATCAAAAAGACAAGCGAAAGATGAAATTGCAGGTAACTGTATAACTGTAGCTAGAAAAAATTTCATCTAGCGAAACCGCCAAGGAATCGAAGCAAAATTACCAATAAAACAAAAGTTCGCATTTATTTATCTGCAATACATAAGACCTTATTATGTAGCTATGGTCAACGAAAGTGAATATGAAGTTATCTATCTTTGATGTCGTAGGCATTTTACGTGCCTGCAAAGCTGATAAAATCACACACAATCCACTTTCACTAAAATACCATCTGCATCAACAACCTTGATGTCTAGGACTGGTTAGGATATTCTTCGCTGACAAATCACAGCACAAATTAGTATATATTTCACCCGTTGCTAAGAACTTTTGAGGGATGAAAATTAAAAGCGAAGAGGTCCAATCAAGACCTGGACGAATAAAGTCAACAAAACTGGCTTCCAGGGAATATTACGAGGGTGCGGCAGAATCCGATGATGTTTGGGGATACAGAGCAAATCCACAGATGATTATGCGAGGTCTAGGAGAGAGAGATAAAATACACTATGGAATCCTACACCACAACATAGCCTCCGAAGCTCTATCAACAGGATAAGACGATTATCTTATTTTTTAATTTATTCTTGAATATTAAAACTCTTTTCCACCTACTGTAGCTGGCAACTGGTCAAAAATTATTATGGACATGTTTTGGGAAATTTAGTGAGAAAATAGAGGAAAGAATGGTTGGTCAGAGGTTTAAGGTTGGTGAGCGTGTCATTGTTGGCAAAGATCGAGGGACAATTCGTTATATTGGAAAAATTAATGGATATGAAAGTGATTGGATTGGCATCGATTGGGATGATGAAGAACGCGGCAAAAATAATGGAATGGTTAATGGTCAATTTTATTTTAACGCTAGGTTAATTTTATTGCCTGTTTGATTAGGTAATTTATCTTAACTCGGAAAAACGTGGTTTTATTTCATTTGTGCTAATCCGTTGGAGATGGTCGAATGGTGTGTTGATTTTGTAGGAAAGCATCAGAGGTTCGATTTCTGTAACGAGTGTAAATCCTCTCAAGTGAAATTAGGTGATGCTGTTGGCCTTTTCGTTGTTTTTTCCTCAAATGAATTTCTGTTAGAGGCGCTCACATCAGTAATCAATAATAGATGAGCCAAAAATAATTTATCCTATTAGAAGATGAAAATTATTTAGTTGTAACATTGGCCAATTATCGATCGCCATAGATGCTGTGTGGTATTTTTATATGTTCAAAGAACATCTGAATCTTCTAAATCTGAGCGCTAAATACAGGGTTATTTTCCTTTTCCAGATTCGTTTTTATTTGTTAACTAGAATCGCTTTAGAAGCAACCGTAGCGGATCGTTTGTAAGGCCATCCGTTGTTATTAAAGGGAAAACTGTTGTTGAGGAAATGAAAAAGAGATATGCTGAAAATTTATTACTGGATGAATACGAATTTGGTGAAAAAAAAATCGAATATATTGATATGGAAAGAGTTTATAAGAAACAAAGGTTAATGAAAGCTTTTGATAAATTTTGATGTAGGTTCTTTGGCTGGAGTAAACCTATTGTTCGAATCCGAAAAGTGAAATCCAAGTCGAGTGTTACTGTGGGTTTGTCTACATTTGTATGTCCAGGCTCTTCAGTGGGAAGGTTTGATCCTGTAAATTAGTGCAGCCAAAATAAAACTGATTAGTGGTGCTAGAAAATCTGGATTTTTGGACAGGTTTACTCCTGCCGAGAGTAGAACTTCGGCTCTGAATTGAGCAATAATTAACTGAGGCCATTCTATTCTCCAATGCTTTTCTCGGTTAAGCAACAGTGTCACCCGCGGAAGAGTGCTAGAAAATAAATATAATATTTTTAATACTTTATCTTTTTTGCGATTTCCTATAATTATTTTGCATATTCATCTTTTCAAGGTGCCAGGTAATCGGTCAGGTGATCGGTTTTTCCGATTATTTTTCCTCTTCCAGTCTTTTTTTTTTCCGTCCTGGTAATAGATGTCAGTAGAGATTATTATATTGTAATCAGATATATTTTTGTGCCGAAGAAATCTGACAAATATTTTTATTTTTATTTAAGATTTCTAAATTTATTGTCTAAAATTTTTAAGGGATATCTGGCGATTGAAATGTGTTGTTCTGGATAACATGTGTGTGGCATTTCCGCCAATAAATGATTGTTTGCCTTTCAAATATTGCACTGAACTGAATTTATATAATAATCTTATTTCGCAGTGGAGCGATCTTCTTAAAATTCTCGAATTCTTTCCATCGCTTTTATACCTCAACTTGAGGTTGAATGTTTTTATTTTCAAAAATTCATTTATTAACCTTCGTGCTGAAATAGCTTAAATTGTTTAAGTGAATTGAAATTCAGGTCTTCTCTTCATCTAATTCTTCTTTTTATTTTGTTTTAAATTGCGTTTCAAATTATAGGAGAAATATTATGGAACCGTTACCAGCCTCTGTTGATGTTGTAGTTAAAGCTCCTATATTCCATATTGTGCTTAGTGATTGCCGTATTGATCTAAATACCGTCAGTTTTTCTTTATTTCTCTGTTTTTATTGATATTTTTTTGCTGCAATAGTAAATTAACTTAAACTAGAAAGGCGAATTTTCTTCCCTTAACTTCCCTTAGCTTCCCTTAGCTTAATTTGTTCCCTTAACTTCCCTTAGCTTAATTTGTTTTAAAAAAGTTGTTTGATGATTTTTAGCCATTAGTTTTTTAAAGTATTTGGTTGTAATTATTTTATGATACTAACAATTTATTTGAAATTTAGGCCAATATTTTAAATCAAATATTTCCATTTTTGCAAGAATTATATCTTTCTCGAAATGGCCTACATCATTTCCATCCATATAACGGTGGTAATTTAACAATGGTCGATTTGGAAGCAAATCCTATTTGCGATTTTTCGCATCTTCATAATCTTGCAAAACTGCCGAGGTGAAAGGTGATTTTTTTGGTGCACAAGTTCTCTTCAATTCAAAATGTTCATTTTTTAGACTTGGTTCATTGAATTTAACGAACTGTGGATTTCAAACATTATATTTACCGACATCAATTGGGTTTCCTTCTCTTAAAACACTGAATATCCGTGATAATGAAATGGTTGGGGTAAGCTCTATAATTTGCTTTATATTTCCCCGAGAAAGCAAATTTAGGCTTGATAAAGCACAATATTATGAAACCCTCTTCGATAAATATATATAAAAAATTTCAGTGGTCGTGGGTAGCTGAATTAGCAAAACTTCCTGCTTTAACAGAATTGTTTTATAATGCTCATAAAGAAGACTATGCAGATCTTGATCTACGCGAAATACTTATTGCTAAATTACCACGTTTAATGATACTTAATCGATGTGATATTAGTGAAGTAGAGCGACGTTCATCGGAAATCCGTTTTTTAAATAAATTTGGAGTATTGCCAATAACAGATGAGCACGAACATGATATAGAAAGGTTATGCTTATGCAATTTGTTATTTTTTTAATTATTGCAATTCTTACAAATTTTTTTAAGAAGATTTGTAAAGAAAAATAAACTGTTATAGTAGCATTCATCTAGAGATCATGGTAAAAATCTGGTTTAATTCAGGCTTAAGGCAATACATGGCGAGCCAGTGTATTCTGATGCTCTTATGAATATGGGTATTCGGCTCGTGAAACTTAAACTGCATTATGGAAATTCGGAAGTTGAAAAAACACTCCCTGCAAATATTGTAGTAAAAAATATGATAGGTTTCGCTAGAAGGATTTTCTCCTTCAGCTCTAGAAAGGTTTTTTTTCATTGAAAAACAATCGTTCTGTATTAGATTGCTTTATTATTTAAGAAAAGAACAGTTAAGTCGAGGGTTTTAGTGGTTAAAATGTTTTTATCTGCAGTGGACCTGGTGAAAAAAAAAGAAAATAATGCAAAAAAAATTGTATTTATAAATCTTCTTGTTCTGGCGCCTTCTGGTTTGGTTCGATTTACTAACGACTAGGGTTTCAAAATCTCTCGATCTAATACCATTTCTGGGAATAACTGCCACTAACTGCCACTCCTGAAGCTACTCCTTTTTCCACCGTCTAATTGGACCTATTATTAGGCCATTTATACGAAAAATTATATGCATAAGACCATATTGGTCCAGGTTTTGATTGGTCCTCCTCGCCATATATCTTAAGGCTCAGTTCCCAGGATGGGATTTCACTTTTGGATTTTGGGTATCAAAAAGGACGCGAGGTATCGAAAATTCGATATTTCGACTGTTGATGAATCCGTTTGAATTGCGATCTTATCAGCGTCTAGTATATAAGAGAAAAGAATTGGATGCAACATGTTTACTTAGTATTGCACCTAGTGTGACGGCTAATATTCGAATAATTAGGAAAGGATAGTACAAAAATATGTTTTCAGATTATCGGCTTGAGTTTTATTGAATAATATTGGGGTTTGTTGTTCTCAATTTGAGATGTTAGTCTCATAGCTATTCAGAAAAATTCAGATATTGGTCGTCATTCTGTTATTTACAGATTTTGAAGAGAAAAATAAAAAGTAAAAAGTCATAGAATGTCAGTTTTTAATTATCTTACAACGGCGACTACTTTTTATCAACTCTGACTCTTGGCGGTCATTTGTTTCTTCATTGATTAATTCCTGGCTAATTCCTTGCTTATTTGAAAAAAAATTTGAATAATTTTTTATTTTTTGAAGTGCATAATTACTTGAAAATTAAGTTTGATTCAATGATGAAATTACAGGTGTCGGTTTGGGCCATATGTGGTGAAAATAATACAAAGATTGAGCTGGATAATCCACTGCGATCTCTAGAGTTTTACTCGATATCTGATGGTGATATTATATGTTTTCTGTCTGCAGTGTAAGTTTAAGGAAGCAGTTTGTTTCTATCGTCGTGCTTATTTGTTTTCTTCGCTGTGTTTTTATTGGCCATGTCTTTTGACAAATTGTACAATTTTATTCATTACTGAATTATTTTTCAAAAGTCCGCGCAGAAGCATGGGATTCGCTATCCTTTTTTCTTGCTTTGATCATAAATTTAAGGTAAAAATTTTGGGGTTGGTAGGATTATTCAATTATATTTAATAAAATAAAATAGGATAGGCAATTGAAATAACCGTGTGGTAGGAACCAAGTAAGCGAAACAACAAAATTTAAAAAATTGGCATAAAGAATCAGTTATTGATCCCAAATGCCTTAAAACTTCTCAGATACGTATCTCCTTGCCTTAGGATAAATTTGTGATGTGAGAGGCTTGTGCGCGGGAGATGTTTATCATAATCAATTAATTTTCAATACTTTAATGATATTTCATTCATTTATATGTAGTTTATTGTTTATACTGGTATAAACCAGCAAATCTTAGTTTATTATATTATATTTCGATAACGTTTTGCGTTATTATTATATAGATACAATAATTGCCATTTATATAGGAAACAAACATCTGAATTCCTAATGATTCCTTGAAATTTCATGATGGATCTAGAGAAACGGCGAAAAGTTTTTACATTTGTTATTGAATCAGGTGGGTGGATGTTTTAATGCATACCTTCATCCAATTTTTTTCGATCTTATCATCATTAAATATCTTCAGGCATTCGATTACAAGCAAGGAATCAAACTATTTGCTCCGCTTGCATCCTTACACATCGAGCTTTGAGCCACGAAGATAGTGATGCATTTTGCCCATATGTATGTTTTTCATCTTTTAGTTCTAAATGCACGCATTCAGCCAGTTTCATTGGCGGATGAAATTCGCCAAAGAATTTGTTGGAGAACTTTTAGAACTGCAAGCGGGTCTCCAATATTTCCCATAATTCGACTTTTGAAGGTTAAGTCTCATAAGGAGATAGGAAATGAACTTGCGATGGTTTGACCTTCATTGGAATAATTCGGTCATCCTATCTTATATATCTCACATTTCAATCTCTCATTGTTTTTCATCGTTTCATTTTTTTTTGTTTGAACTGCTTACGTTTTATATTGTAATTTGCATATAATTTTGCTTTTTCTAAGATGAAATGAGTTGTTCACTCAAATTCCATTGTATCATTGGGCTTATCCTTTATTATCGTTTTTTTTTAAAGAGTCTTCTCCATTATTGGTTGAATTCATTCTACTGGCTTGTCGCATTGGACAAATATGTCAAGGAGGTAGAAATATAGGTAAGTCGTCAGCATCTGTGCTCCGAATTTAGCAACAACCATTCTATCCTTTACTATTCTTAATTCGTAGCAACTAAAATTCCATGTATGAAAACCTTCATTTTGATGTTGATTTTATGGTAATTCCGCAGAGATTTTGTTAGACTGGAAGAAGGCATTTCTGGCTGTTGCAGCTTGTCTGAGTTTTTTTTCCACTTTTATTACAGCTTTGGATCTTATATTTGAAATTTCCTCAGTCGGTGATGGATTTATAAAAGGCAGTATTTTGGAAGCGCGACTGGAGTTGTCGATATCGATCTAGCATCTATTGTAATTTCTCATAACTTCATTAGCGTATTTGTATTTGATGGTACTATGATCTGGACTGATTTATATATCTCTTGATTGCCGGCTATCAATGTCATCCAATTTATCGCGTGGTTGAATGTTGCAGAAATGATACAGCTAGTAAACAGCAGTTATCATTTAGAAGGGATACCAATTCTCCATATATTCTGACTTATTCTTATGTAAGCTGTTAAGGTCAAGATTTCGATTCCCCGCAGGAGTAAATCTGTACAAAAATCCGGGTGATGCTAGCGACTCACCTGTATTTTTATCGTCAAGAGGCTCCCTGGCATATTGCTCAATGTGGCAAGCCAGCGGAGCGAGTTTAACCAGTAATGATGAGGACTCTTAGAAAAAACTCTGTTAAAGTGCCCTTACGAGTTGGATGATCTTCGCTGGATAACATCCTCGTTCCATCACTTTGAAGAGTGCTTACTAAATTGAAGAAAGTTGGTTGCAAATTTGTGAAATAACTGGCGATTTCCTATGTTTGAAAGTCAGCTTTAAATCCATCTTCAATAGGGTATATTTCTCTTGTGCTGCCATAATTCTGAAGAAAAAACAAAGTGTTCTTCGGAATTGGGAATAGAATCGCTTTTCTACACTTATCTGGCCTTAATAATCTTTTTTTTTTAAATATTTATTGTTATTTATCGTCCCCTTAAAATCTATCTTTTAGAATATCGCAGCGTCATGTATTTTGATAGCAGCTAAAATCGAGGAAGATGAAATTGTTGGCATCCGTGACGTTATCAACATCGCATATAGGTGAATTCGTGATTTTTGTGATATTCTAAAATTAATTTCACATTTTTTTTTGTCTTGCAACGGTAAAATATTCAATGATTATGAAACAAAAAATTGCTCATATTATTTGTGCATTGAGTGTGATATATCCGGATCGGCCTTTGCTTGATGTCGGGCCAACTTTATGGAATTTACGCGAGTCTCTCGTTCAAATGGAATATATTACTTTGCGGTTTCTCGATTTTCGCATGACTACAAGGAATCCGCATAATGTGAGTGATCGTTAATTCACCGTTTGGATTTTTAGGAAAAAAAGGAAATGCAATTGGCACTTTATTTGTTTGTACTTATACTTCTATATTTGTTTTTGTTACTCTCCATGTTTGCTTCTTTAATATATTTATTATCCAGTAATGCTAGTACAGAATAAGTCTCCAAGGAAATAAAATTTAATACATTCTAATGGATAGTTATTTTATTTTATATTTCAGTTTTTGCTGCATTATATATCCGCTTTACAACATTGGTGTCCTCGGGAGTTCGAACAAAAACATGTTGGAGAACTTTCATTTATTTTATTGCGAGATGCTCATGTACATCCAGATTGGGTCCTAGCTCATAGTCCACAGACCGTAGCAATCATCTGTTTGTCAATTGCTTTGAGAGCATCGAAGGTTAATTTTCTCAATTTTCTATTTATCTATATTTCCATACATCATATTATTATAAACCAGTCACAATGATTGAAAATAAAGTACCATTTTTAACACTGAATTTTTTATTTGAAATATCAATGGTGGTAAAAAGAAGGGTAAATCAGAGCTAATTGAAATTTTCTGATTTAATGTGAAATTCTATATCCCTTCTTATTTCTAATTAGTTATTCATTTTAATTTTTTCTCCAGATAACCCTTGATGTCACATGGTATCAAACTTTTTATGAATATATGTCTCGAAAAAAACTTTTGAGTTTGGAAGAAGAGTTTATGAAGTTGATTTTTCAACTGTGATATGACTTTATTTATTGGTAAAGTTTGGCTAATAAAATGCAATAAACCTTTAGAAACAAGTCATTATTCCCTTATTAACATGTAAATCATGTAAGCTAATTCAGTAATTCAGTAAATCAAGTAATAATTGAGAGGTTACAGAAATACTTTTTGCGAAGTATTAATCTTGGTCTCACGATCATAAATCTAATCTAAATTTACAATAATCGCGAATCACTAAAATTCAGAAGAACAAAACGAGGTCTTTTTATACTTAAAACCTTTTAAAGATTGTATTTGATTTTATTAATTTGCATTAAAAGCATAGATTACTATTTATGCTTCGAAATCTGCTATACCAGTGGTAATGGGATTGAAAATACATAATCGATTTGCCAGATTATTGTCCCAGTTCCACTCTATAATAAACATCAATTATTATTGTCTCGTAATGTTGTTTTTGCTGTCACTATCTCCAATTTCGAAAAAAGCGGTAAAACCAGTGTTATTTAAAGTAGAATGAATATGACAAAATTTTTTGTTAATACTATTTTATTCCTTTTTTTTGTATTGTTATTTGTTTTTCGAAATAAAAGTCATAGGAGATTTTTCGCTCAAATCAATTGTAAAGGAAAATATGCTGAATAGAGCTAAGAAATATGATATACGAAGTAGGAATCGAATCGCATTAAAGTTTTTCATTTACTTTGCTCAATAAAATTTTTGATTACTTGAGATTGTTTGAATAATAAATTCTTATTTAATCGTATTTCAGTTTTACCACGTTATGTCGTTAATCGCAATCTGCATTTCGTTCCATAATTCGTTTTGGCAACTCAGCAAGTGTGGTTACCATTTCAATTTTTGTATGATCTAGGACAGGCCTTTCTGTTTGCGAAAGGTTGATTTCTACAAATTCCGTGGTAGAAAGGGGCTTTTTTTCTATTGGTTTAAAATTTTGTGCATGTTCGAATTGAAAGTTTGAAATATCTTTGTTCTTCGTTGAATTTTCGTTACATTTGTCAAGTGTTTCTTCTTTTTTTGAAATAAAAAATGGCTGTGAAATTCGTTGTTGTTTTGCATGGGGAAGAAAAATAGTTAGGAAAACTGGCAGAAAGACTAAACCATGGATAAGGCTGAAAGTAATAACGAGAAAAATTGTTTTAAAAAAAATTTGCACGATATATGCGTCAATAGAGGCCAATAATGATATTCCTATCATTGTCGAAAAAGCACCCTGAAAATAAATTAACATTTTTAAAAGAAATGAGATGTACAAGATCATGGAGGTATGAATAACAAATACGATGCGAAAACTCTAAGAAAAATTCGAATGGTATGACTCAAAGTTAAAGACAGCTACAATGTTTAAATGAAGAGTTGTAAATGAAGAAAAGTTTATTGGAGTTCCCATTACCATTGTATAAACAGTTGTATATAGCCACAATAAACGGTTTCTTTCAACTGCTGGTCATTCTCGGCTTGGCTGGCTCTATTGACTTTAGATCCCTATGAGAGAGAATCGCTTGAAGGCTGGATTGAAGATGTGATTCCAATACCAACTGTACTTTGTTTTTGATGACAGAATTACTATTCCTAATCTCACATATGGAGCAGAATATGGTAAGAACTTATCATGAAAACTGGCCATCCGATGTTTTCTAAAGCTTGGATAGCCTTTTGGTTCTTATCGCCATCAGCCTTCACGTATGCATAGCCAATATGAGCTGATAGATCCACAGCGAATCCAATACTCATTATAATAGTAATCATTGAAACACTTTCCAGTCGAATTTCCCAAAATGTCATAAAACCGATAACGCCTATAAATGCCATATTTAAGATAAATGAAGTGAAATGTTGAAATGTTTCGTTGGCGGATTGGAATTTTAATCGCAATGAGGATGAAAAGTTTAGTGATTCATGGAAGGAAGCTGCAAAGGTATTAGAGAATTAGTTATTAGAAGGATCAAACTAATTAAATTTTTACCGATATCAATGTTTAATATTGCTCCGGCTATTATAAAAGCGGCCCAGCAATTCGGTATCATAATAAAGGAAACAATAAACATCGATAACAAAGCCAAAATGCAGTTCCTGATCAGTGCAGGTTTGAGTTCAATATACTGCAACCGACTACATTTCACTTCCACCGTAAAATTATTTTAAATTATTTTATTTCGTCAAAAATTTTCAGGCATTAATCGATAGGTTACGGACAGTGAGTTTAAGCACAATCATAGAAGAAAATTGATGAGGAAAACTGATTTGGTTTTTTATTTCTAATTTTGTGTCTGAAATTTCAAATCAATTGGAAATTAAAGGATCAATAATGGGGGAAAAAAAATCAGGTGGTGACAAAGGTAATTCTTCGTATTACATTCGTATTATAAATGTTAAAAAATATTGGTTTACTTGATCTGCAAATGGATAATATTCATGAAATGTGGAAATATTGAACTGTGGATATTTTGCTGCAATTTTTCGCATCATTTGTGCACTGCGCATATGATCAGTTGGAGTTCGATAATTACGCAGTCCTAATTGAAGACGAAAAGCGCACAAATGATTGAATGGCTAAAATTGATAATACTGGTAAAGTCTGACAGAATTCGTTATTTCATTATCTACAACACATCATGGAGCAAGTTTGATAGAAAGCTTCATAAAAGTACTTTCAATTGGTTTGTACACCATCGCATATCTTTCTCCCAAAGTCTTCTACCACCTGCTACAATCAGCCATTCTTGACATTTTTCATACCATTCTTCGCTTCTAAAATCTGCTAAAATTTCATAATCTACCAAAGTCACAGTATTTTTGATAGAAAATCATTTTAGCTGATGCTGATAAAATATCTATTTTTATCAATTCACTGCCGGTTGAGGAAGTGCTGGACTTTAAATACTTTAGATCCACTCTAATCCCAAATGGCCAGGCAAAGGATGAAATCGCAATCCGCATAAAATTATCTTTAAAAAATTAGCTAAAATTAGTCAAAATTATCGGTTTTACCGGTTGATGAAACCTTTATGGAATCGAAATCACCATAAGACAAAAATCCACGTCCATATAGTCCATATAGCTGCAGTTCGTTCGATCTTACTATATGGCTACGACATATGGCCAATGAGAGTGGAAGATATTAGGAAACTATTAGCCTTTGACCACTCATGTCTAAGGTACATTCTACGGATCCGCCGAGCAAATAAAATCGCACGACTGAATCCACCTTTGCTCAAATACCATCTGCATTAATAACGTTATCACGGAGCGTCGTCTTCGCTGGTTAGGGCACGATATCCGTCGTCCACCACAGGAGTTGACGCATATTTCGTTACTTGCTAAACCGTGTGATAGATGGCGTCAAAAGCGAGGTGGGCCAATCAAGACTTGGACTGATACAGCCAGGAAAGAACGTAGACCAGCGATATATGGACTTAGATGATGGAAAAGGAATGGTTTCTATTACTACTAGCGATAGCGTCGGACCAGGCAACTTGGAGACGTCTTACTCTTGTAGCCAGCGGAGCCTGCCTAACCAGCAATGGTGAGAGCTGTTAGAAGAAAAAATCAGATCATTTTAGAAAAATGAAAATGGATTTGTTTCCCATTTTTTCACATTATAACTGTATTAAGAAGCAATTTAACAAACGTTGTTGGGGATGGAATTTTAAATTCTTCGCGTTGTTTTTTTAATTCGAGTTCAAACGCATCAAGCCAAAACATAGTTGCATTATGTTTCATCGTATAGTGAGTATTCTCGAATTCACTTATCATTGACTTGAAGTTTGCTTTTTGTGAAAGATTAAAAAAATCTGGCGGTGAATTAACAACGAGTTGCATCTGAAGACCTAAATAAAACTATGATAAACAATGATTCAAGACTTTGTTCTATTTCTTTGTTTAAAGATGACTAAGCAAGGTAATAGCCTTATGTAATAAAAATAATAACATTAAAAAAAGCGAGGTCGCGCTAACTAACCATTCATCTATACTTCTATAGTCGAGTGACTCTCTGGCAATAATTTCCGATTGTACTAATAGCCAGTGGAGCAAGCCTAATCAGAAATGATGGACGCTAATCACATAATTACTTACTTTGTTGAATAAAAAGTCAAAACTATTAGACGAATTATAAATGGATGAAGGAATACGATCTATGAGCGAAATAAATCATGGATAATTGATTAATTAATTCATTTCATTAGCTTTATAAGCTAACTTTGTTTAAGAAAAAGAAATATATGCATTAGAAATAAAAAATTATGCCTTCATTCCAAAAAGTCTCATCCATAAGCACATAAAATTTATTCAAGTAGAACGTTTCTTTAACGAGAAATTTCGGATTAAGTCCTTCTTTAACGTTTATGCAACCAAGAATCGACAGCGATGTATAAATCATATAAATAAAAATAACAATTTTTTTTGTCAAATTATCGAGCAAAAAAGGACCATAGAATTGCCGAAAAATTTTCGAAATTAACGTATCGCGATCATCATGCCACGATGAATCCTTGGAAAAGTTTGTTTGAATTATGATTAAAAACAATTTGATACAATTCTTTCTTCTCGATTTTTTCTAGTGCACCACTTATCCCAAAAATTAAATTACTTCCTCAATTTTCTCAGATCCACTTGTGGGCCTTATCTCGTATATCGCGTAATATTGCCTTGAAACCACATCATACATTTTTGACGCTATCGCAGTTACAAATTATCAAATAGCAATGGGTATCATGGCTGACACTGGGAGACTGAAACCCAACAGCTGGAGTTGGTAAGTTTTTAATGGAGTATAGCGGATAAAAAACTTACCATTTGGTCAAATTGCATACTATTCAAAGAATATAAAGAGTAAATGAAATATAAAGAGTTTTGAGGAAATAACTGATTCTGTGCACGGTTCTGCCTTTCGTAGGACTATTTTACCAATTTATATTATAGGTATAAGTGTTAATCCTTGATCATTTTAATTACAATTGGGAATTTGATGAATGAAAAATAAATAATAAATAAATACTTGATCGTCCTTATAAAATTCCTTGTTCTGAACATTAATTTTCATAAGGATTTTTGAATGACTTTTCATAGAATTGTCTGCTTTTGAAATAATTGAATTATCCAACCGTCGCACTTTTATAGCAGATAATTCTTTTTGTGGTACTTTATTTATTGAAGGCAGCGAACCAACCAGAAATAGACGCTCATATAAAGTACCTAAATTCCTATTAGTTTCTCATTGTCATTTTTTGTCATTAGTCTTTTATAAATTCTAAAACTGTTTAGGGCTATATAGAATGTTTCTTCGCTTTCTGCTTTGGTCAAAAAATTGCAAGCGAACGCCGATGATTTCGAAAAATGTGATTTTTAATTAATTATTAATCAAAAATTAATAATTAATTATATTAATATAAGCATTCCTTAATTAATAAAGAGATTGTAATGTCAACGTATAATTGACAGTGTCAAAATGTCATCCAAATTCAACAAGAAATTCAGTAATACAGAAACAGAAACATGGAAGACTGAACGCTTAAACAATTATCGTGCATTCATATGTCGTATAAGAACTTGTAATTTTTGACATAAGAGTAAAAGTAATATTAAAAGCCCATTTCTAAACAAATTCTCTCCAAGGTTAGTAGAAGGATAAGACGATTTTGTCAGGCATCAGTTGGTAATACAAGTGCCAGGCAACATCTTCCTCACCATCAGAGTTTCACTGTGTCGAAATTATGTTGAGCTCATGCACAGCTTTATTATTATTGAATATTCTACATCTTTCTAAAATTTCCTTTAATAGCACTAGTTTTTCCAACAGATGAATCAATTTGTTCTTATTAATAATGACAATTTTTGAAAGAAATGCGCATAATATGAGTGCTGAAAATTCTGTTGCATTATTGTTCCAGCTGTTAAGGTAATTCAGCAGTTCTCTGTAGTCTGCAGTAGTTCTCGGTGAATAATGAGAATAGTTCATTTATTAAACGACTAAGCTTCTCTCTCAAGACGAATCGCTGCCAAGGAATTAAGTGAATTAACTATTAGATCCACATTTCTAATCTTTTTTGTTCCTATGATACCAAAATTTACCCAATATTTTACTTATCTGCTGAAGATTCCTTGAATATTCCTTGAAAAATAGAACTGAAACCATTCCTTTAGCTTGAAAAAAGCCAGGAACTACTAGCATCGAACTTTATCGATCTAATTGATGTGAAAAAAACTGTGGACTTCGTATAAAATTAGTGGACAATAATTAAAAGAAAAAATAGTTCAAATGGTCAGAATGAAATTCAATATCCATCACTAGCCAGGAAATCTAGATTCAGTAAAATTTCCGAAAATTGTTTTATCTGAGCAACTTCAACAAAGCAGGAGATATTTGCTCAGACCAAGTCAAAAGCAAGCCTAGCGCCCAAAAAATGTAGATATGCTGATTTTTCTGAAATCGAGATAAAAAATATTTTTTATCTAACACTTCATTTTGGATGGACTTGAATGTATGCAATACATGCCCAATCTTATACTGAAATCTTAAAATTTTGTTTTACTTGTCCTGTCCTTCATGCTTCCGCTTCTTCGGTATTTTTGCACTCTTTGACCTCGGCCAAAATTGGCTCTTTGACAATTTCACAAAACCACCGTAAGCGATAAAAGTGCATGGAAATTCGGTAAATCACAAATGCGATAGTTTGCATTTTTTGTGGGTAATTTTTAATCAAATTGAGGTAGTTAAGTTAAATGTATCTAAGCTCTTGTTATCTAGAAGTCAAAAAGTCAATATAACTTTCCAACAATGATGCTTATTCAGTCTAAATATTTAAGGTATAGTAAAATGATTATTGGATAAATGTATCGATACTAACTTGCTTTATTAGGATCAAATGCAGGTTTAAAAGTAATCACATGCAATCCTTTGGCTTCCCAATCACCAGAGAATGCCATAATAGCAGTGAAAAATGTTAGCTGATATATGTAGGTGAAAAAAATGCCTGACGTTGTATATAAACAAAAAAGTTGCACGCTAGGAAGTGAAGTGAAACAGCCAATACCAAATGATAGCTGAAAAATGTTTATAGTAATTAATTTATTGCAGTTTAAGAAAAATTATATAATGTTAAGAAATTGAGTTTCCTAAATTCTTATGACCTTCGTGACCTTCCGTAATCAAATAAACAGACGTCCGATCTTATTTCGCCATCCATTTATACTCTGCCTTTATTGATAAAAATAAAAAAAATAAAACACAACCTCGAGCCTTCAAAATTTCAACTCAACAAGTATTGGAAACTATTCAGACGAATATTTCGAGAAAAAATGAGAAAGAGCCAAGTCTAGCTGGAGCCAAGTCTGTATAAATATCTCTGGGAAACCTACGGAAGATGAGACTGTTATTGCCGATAGACTCTTGGCAGCGAACAATGTCGCTGCCGCTAAAATCAAGAGTTACATTTGTTGACATGGAAAGAAGGAGTCAGGCAGGCTACGAATACTGAAAATTCGATTAGAAGATAAGCATATGGCTATGCCTATTTTCTGTAATTTGAATGTGCACTCGATCGCTTCCCATGAGAGCTTTGCGGAAAGATTTAACCAAAAAAGAACTAGTTCCAGACAAACAAGTGCGAAAAGAATGTTATATTCGGAACCAGAGCCTTAATTTAAAGAAGTGTGTGACCAGAAATCTTCAAATAGGGCAACTCAGGTAGCCTTGACAATGGTTTGCAATGAATAATTTTTCTACTTAACCTTCTTTTGCTCATCAGCAAAAGACTACAGCAGCCTAAGATGTTTGCCAAGTAAAGTTAATAACATAGAAAGTAATTTATCTCTATATATTTAATTATATATATTAATTATATAATCTCTATATATATTTTATATATTATTCTATATATATTTAATGCTAGAAGTTTAAAGTATAAATTGTATGATTTACAGTTTCTATTAATTAATTAATTATAATGAATTAATTATAATTATTTATTAATTGATAATCTAAATACTATTTTTTGTATAAATGAAATGAAATGTGGTTAGATGATTCTACTGAATCGGGAACTAAACTTCGACGGTTTTGTAGTAACATGCAAGGAAAAACGATAAATGCACAACTTCAGCTATACAAATTTAAATGCTCATGAAGGTGGGCTTATTCTTGACTATTATAAGTTTAATTTTTGTTGTTTATTCCTCTTTTGAATTTCTGATAACTAAAATTAATCTTAACTAGAAATATTTTTTTCTTAAATCTATATCGCTCAAAAAACTTTGGAGGTAATTTCACTTCCGATCTTTGCAAGTTATTAAGATTAAAATTATTTAGTTGTGATTATATAATTAATTGTTGATGATCTTAATAAGCCAAATATAGGCTGGGAAAATAATTTTATGAAAAATTTTTGATAATCATTTCTCTCTTAAATCTATATCGGCAGTAAATTTGAGGAAAATTTTCACTTTCTAAACTTTTGTACTTACATTGGTTTAGAGCAGTATGTTAAGACTTCCAGGCACAATGTTGTATTAGACGTTGTATTATTACTGCCTCTTCTACTTCCTCCTTCGTCATTAGAATCAATGTTCTTGAATCTTCTTGTAGCAGATCATAATATCATTCATGCCTTATTGAAACTGAACCATTATATACTTCCTCTTAGATTTACTAGAAATTATCGAAGTTGTGATTATGAACTGATTAGCTTTCTCATGGTGGAAATTGGGATTTTATTTTTTTAATAACTAACTTTAATGATCAAAAAGTTACTTTTCTTAATTGCCCTATATTTTATTTAGCGATACATTTCTTTTTATAGGTCTTTTCCTCTTTTCCTAAAAATATCTCAAAAACAATGTGAAAAATCTTTATAATAAGTATAAATTAACCAAATTGCCATCTCCCTGCATATAACGATTGCTTTAAAAGATTGTTTTCCGTTATGCTATTCATAAATACTTTTAACAACTACTTGAAAACAAATAATCCTGCACCATAATGATAAAGTAATCATATCACTTCCGATTTCGATATTGCAAGAGTGTTTAATCAATATTTTTATAGCGTATTTGTTAACGATAATATTAATCGCTCATTTTTCAATGAAAGAGATTGAAATTATATTATTAGATGCTTATTGTGTCTAAAATAAACCTTCAAACCTTCTCCTTCCATTTCAACTGATCCAGATAACATTCCACAAATATTTTTTAAAAATGCACTATCCCTTCCCTGTTTTTAATTTACAATTACATTATAAGAAATGGCTCAAATCCAAGACTTTGGAAATTATCTTATATTATTCCCATTTATAAAAAAGGAAACACCTATGATCCTTTTGATTATAGGCCTATTAGCCTAACATGCTTATTAAGTTATCTTGATGCCACTAATTTACTATCTTCCTATCAGCATGGCTTTTGTTCAAAAAATCCACTTCACGAATATTGACACTGTTGATAGCGGAAAAATAGGCCTATATCAGTTGTCTACTTTGACTTGGCCAAAGCTCGATATTGCTTCACACAGTAAGTTGCTAGTCATCAATCGTTATGGCATTACAGGCAGCTTGTATAACTGGATATTAGATTATTTAAAAGACCGATACCAAGCTGTACTTATTAACGACTCACTCAGATTTGGCTCCACTTAAATCAGGTGTTCGCCCAGGTAATTGTGTGTCGCGCGTTTACTTTTTCCATTACATATTAATGACCACAGTTGTACTAAATTGCACAACTTCAGCTATACAAGCTAGATTCACATCCAATTCGTCGAATCAAACAAGGCCCTAATTTGTTTATTAAATTTTATATGATTTTTTCAAATTAGATTGTTCAAAATATTATAATTTTAGGTCAAATTGGAACCTAGCAAGATCTAATGGGGTAAAATTATGAAGAACATATGACTTTTCTATTCTCACCATTAATTACTGGAATAAAGTGCCGAATAGTTTGCGCACCATTTACTTATTTTTAAAAAATCATCCATAATACTATTTAAAAGGGCTGCTATGCAAGAAGTTTGAAATCTTGATCACTTATTATTCGATTTTCTATCGCTAATCTATTTGCTCTTGGTTTATTTTATTTGTATTTTTTTTTTTTTAGCTTTTCGTCAATTTCTTTGTTGTGTCGCAGTCATTGTTTCTTTTTATTTGATAAGCATATAGCGCTTGTCGCCCTGCTTGATTGCTTAAATAAATAAATAAATTTCTTCCAAAAACAGAAAATAAGTAGATGAATAAGTAGATGAACTTTTGAGAAAATTATTGAAAAATCGCGAAATACCAAGTCAGTAATTGATGTGATAGATACTGCTGTAGCGGCTTCAGATAATGTTACCGCGAGACGTTTTGAGGCGCTTAAATTCGGATTCGTGCGGTGCCACACTGCTGTCATAATAAACATATCATCTATTCCGATACCTTGAATAATATATCCAGTAAGATACAGGAAAAAATCAGTGAGAAGCGTCATTATGGGAAGTATGAATTTTATCGTCTCTAAAATATATTTTTGCTAGGTTTTTCATAACACCAACCTATTCTCGAGTTAAAGGCATTTAAAATCAACTATTTCCTATTATAAATATCATTACATTACGAAAGCTGAAACAATTTTCAAGCTTTTAAAGCCTAAGATGTCTGAAAGCATCATTAGCATCATTCTTACAGAATAAAATGAATGGCGAAATGTTGACAATGGCATTATATAATGATCCTGCCCATAGTACTGTTCCGAATCCGCTTATAATAGCGAGTAGAGGACAAAACAGGCCTAAAATAAGTTATTTTATAATAAGTAAGTTTTGTAAGTTATTTTTAAAGATGTGATAAAAATTAAAGCATCTGTATATCTACAGATCCCAATGTTTTAAATTTATATAAGGATTGAACCATCTTCATACCTAGGAAGCTATCAATCACTATTCTCCTAATAGCGCTTACCATTTCTAATTTGGCTAGCTCCATTGATCCTTTCCCCAAAGATTTACTTAAGAATAGAGTTACAGATAATTTACCAGCACCATTTTGATCAACTGCTATCAGCAAAATCTTTTCAGCAATATCATAAAGTATATTAGAATATAATAAGACAATAGTAGAGTACCTCATGAGTGAGAGGGTACAAGAAAGAATTTTCCATTTTGAATGGAATGAAGGAATGGAATACAAAAATGAATCTTCCCTCCTCCCATCTTAGAACCTATATAAGCTCCTAAGAGACCATTTTATCATTTTGGGCATATTTTGGGCAGAGGGAAGGCAGGAGTGGGAAGAAGGAGTTTGAAAAGTGGGTTGTGGATTTGGGGAGCGTTGGGTAGGAATGCAGAGCCAGGGCTTATCCATCTTGCATAGATTTGCCAATCGGGTCCATATGCCATACCAGTTTTTATGATTTCTTCTTTCTTTTTACTTTTGTATCTTTATTTTATATATTTTAAACAAAAGGTTTAATTTCCAAGTTTGAGGGTTCAACCTTCTGTAATGAGATATATGTATAAATATAAATATATACATATATATATAATTAGTGATTTTATTAGTAAAGAAAATTACCGCATCGCAGGAAGTCTACAGATGTGGAACGGATTCTCGAAAGTTTTAAGGAAAAGGTATATTGGAAGTGAGAATCGTTGAGCTGAGCTCCACTTTTTTTCTGTACAAGTAAAATCATTGAATTACAAATGCAGTCTATGAGCACTTATATCTTGAAATAAAATTGACAGTGGTTTAGAAATCAAAAAACTGGCCAGCTAGTACAGTAACAGGTTTGCTTCGAACCCAATCGACTGCCAAGTAGTTGCTATGATCGAGAAAAACGATTGCATTCAATGCACATAAAGCAAATAATATTGCAAATGTGCATATGAACGTTGGTATTAGTTCATCTGCAACTTGTTGAAGCCCCTCGGGAAGACTTTCATTGTGATAAAGTCCAAATTCAAGGATTCCTGCAAGCTATATATTGAAATCAGCGCTATGATTTCTATATAAGATTTCATTAAATGAAAATAAGAATATCATAAAATTTAAGTAAGAATTTGACCAACTTGATGGTGGATTTTCTTTATTGGCTAAATAACTAGTAACTTTTTTTCGCCATCGGTAGCTAATATCACCTACTTTGCCATTGCGAACATTATATGTCAGCCGTATAGCTCGTACATAATTAAAATGACCTTCCTGAAATGCTTTGATTTAATTCGGGTACAAATCTTCATAGGCACGAATACTGTCCCTCGAATAAATCTGCCATTGAAATGAAAATCCGAGTGGTAAAGAGTTAGTCGAGAAGTGTAATCCTTGTAGCTAATGAAATTAACCACACTAGAAGTGATGTGTTATTTAAAAGACGACATTTAATTTGATGTGAAATAAATTTGTCATAATTTTACAGCGACTTTGAGTACAATAGCTTACAACTAGATTATTCGTGTTTTGATGAAGGATATAAGTAGCAGTTATCCATTCCGTGAACATATGGCCTGTCATAAAAGCATTCCTTTCATAGCAAGTTTAAAATGTTTTCCTGCTCAAAAATATCATTTTTCCACATTAAAAACGTAATTTCTCACGTAATTTAAAGAAAAAAGAAGATTTGGAAAATGATTAGAATAAATGTAGATAACTCTTACTTCATCAATAAGATTAGGAGCACCTATAAGTGCGCCAAAGTAAATCGGTTCAGTTCCACGCCAACCAATTGGATACGTTATTTTTACCTGAAGAAAGATTTTAAAATAAATAATTTCAGATAATTTACAAATAATTTATTTCATGGAATATATTTTTATGGTACATTCCTGAGATATGGTTAGTTTCTGCAGTATATTGAACTTTTTACATACTAATGTTCGCTATCATTCGCCTTGCTGTTAAGTTTTGCAAGGTAGGATAATTCCAAATTCGAAGAATCTTGTTCCTTAATGCAATAACTATCTCTCTGGAGATTACGTAATATCAAGCCATGTTATAAATTGAATTAGGAGGTTTTGGATTTTTTTACTTATGTAAATGATTAGTAAATTTTATGCTAATAAAATATTCTATTCAAAAGTTATTTTCTGACAAAATCTTACCTCATTTTTTATGATATCGTCGGTGAATTCAGCAAGTCTTCCGCTGAAATTACCCCACCTATGTTTTGGCATAAGCATTGTGATATGATCATTATGATAACATTTCCATTCATATGACAAACAAATATCTGTGAAGCCAACTTCATAATGCTTTCCACTGTGGTCGAAAGGCACAGTTAAATTATATATAATGTACTAAAAGAAATGGCAGAATATTAAAATAATTTGCATTATTTTCTTTTCTAGCCTATTCTAGGTAAATTTTTTTTATTTGCCATCTCTAGTACCACTAATTAATTAGATTCAGCAAGATTAAAATTAATCTATTATTCTAATGACCTGATAAGCTCAAGCATAAGTTATGTAGATAAAAATCTACAGATGTTGAGTATAACGCAGTGGATAGAATGGTCGCCATCAAATGACCTTCAAGATCAAGCCATCAAAAATCCAATTTCTATTCCTTGGCAAGAAGCTTGTTGTTAAAAGTGAAGTTCAGATGACAACCTATCTATGCTTCTATCTTCAAGGCTCTGACGAAGGGCGCCTTATCTTAATAGCAAGGAGAACCAGAAATGATTTTAGAGGAAGAAGAGCACAGAAATTGAAAATAGCCAAGCAATTATTTACGTTAGCTATTATTTTTAAATTTTTTTAATCATCTATTCCATGCTAAATATTCTGGATTGAATTACTCAAACCTGATTAATGCGGCTAAGTTCATTTAAATAATTTTCGAGTAGCATGTTCGGTCGCCCCTTGAATTTATCTGCTATGCCAGCAGCAATTATATCAACATATCCATTATAATCATAACTCTTTCCTGGCCAGAAATTTTGTTCATCTAAGGGCCAATGTTGTCGAAGCACCTCATATTCGTATCGCCAAGGAGCATTTTCTGGCGAAAACACATATTGCGGATCAATAGTTGTCTAAATTCCAAAATTTTTATATTGAATTAAAAAGTACAAGGATAAACTGGGCAATCAAAATTAAAACCGGAATCTCGTATTGCCATATATTTTCGAAACTTTTTTGCTCAGATGATAATCAAATATATTCACGCAAAATCTTATTCAAGAAATTGCTGATCGGTAAATGGAGACAAACCTGAGCCTTTAAAAATACGAAACCAGTTGATAATAAAATTGTCACGAAGATTGGTGTAGTAAATAATACAAATCTATAGCGATAAGCGAAAAGGCCCCAGTGAAAGAAGGCTCTGTGGATAAATGCATCAAATAAAATGGCAACCATTCCTATAATTGTTTTAAACATTTCTAAATCGAAATCTAGACTTGAATTTTGGTTGAAAGCAATTTATTTACTAATTGTCTTCAAATTTCTTTTACATATATGAGTTTACGTATTTTGCAGACAACCTTAAACGATAATTTACTAATTTTCTAGTTATTTTTTCAAATTAACGGGATAATAACTGCACTTTATGACGGTGTTTCAAAACCAAAACGAGTTGCAAAAAAATTCTAAGAATAAATCAGCTGCCAAAAAACGGGAGCGAATGAATTGTTTTAAAATTTTAAAGACTTTTTTGTAGCTGAAAATTGAATGGAGGTGGCCGAATTTCATATGGGAGGACCATGATCTGAATAGGTTGCAGAGACGAATTTCTCGATTCCCTGTATTCATTGAAATTTCGAAGCAATTATCAAAATTCGGAGGTCTCATTTCATTTTATTGTAATTGCGATCAAATTATAGAAACGGAATTTATCAAATAACCACTATTTACAAAAATTGTTTTCAAATCATTAAGCAATTTTGCCAATTTAACAATAAAAACGAAGCATTGAACTAAATTAAACTTCGTAAATGCAAATATTTCTGTTCAAACTTCTAACAAACTTATAAATATTCATTAGAATGAAACATTTGCGGTAAATTCTTGAAGAATTTCAAGCACATTGAAAACAACAAAGAACGAAACTTTCAAGAAATGAGTGTTGAAAAGATTCGTCAATGAGATGGACGTCCTATATCTACTGACATACATTCGACTAATTCTACTCAAATCTGCGATTTTTTGTTAACATTGTTCTAGCAAAAATGATTTAAAAGAAAATGACCCAGTTGGAAAATTTTTGATGAGAAAAATTTTATCGTTTCTATTCTTATCCCGTTATAGGACGTCACTAAAAAGTTGGGAGATTTCAAAGACATCCGGTCGAAATCTTCAGTTATCAGGAAAATTTTTCAAGCCATTTTTGTGCATATGTCGATAGCGAGTTGATGGATTTTTCGCGTTCTCCCGAATAAAATATTCCCTAAAAAATATTACGTGTCAAAACCCAGAAAAATCGGACAACAGGACTTATTCGCGTTTGGTCGGAACAGCACACCAATCAAAAACTTTTATGACTATCATCCAGACTGAACTGCACACCCAAAAGTGATTGATTATAAGCTCAACAGCTAAAAATAAAGGCAACATAATTAACGCAGCATAAATATAAAATAAATTTAAAATGATGGGATATGATGGCTCAGTGGATTGTTGCTCAATTGGGAGTGCCGGTGCTGAGGTTCGATTCCCTGCAGAAATAAACCTGTACAAAAATTAGGATGATAATGGCGACTCACCTGTATTTCTATCGCCAAGGGACTCCCTGGCATATTGCCTCAATGCGACAAGCCAGTGCAGCGAGTTTAACCAGTAATGGTGAGGACTCTTTAAAAAAAAAATTTAAAACGATAGACATGTAGAGTTCACAATTGTAATAAAACCTCTCGAACTGTAATTTTTTGGTAAGCAATTATGATTCATCGTTGATATTGCTGTTCATTCAGTGCTGTTACTGTGTTGGTTTCAGTGATGTTTAAATATCTCTATTAAATACTCTATGCTTTCTATCTGCGTTTATTTAGCATTCCATTAATAGGAAATAATGCATATTAATTTCAGAGACATTAAAAATTACCAGTGGTTATAATTAGTTTGCGTAAAAAGGAATAATTCATATTCTTCACGCCATACAAAATGAATCACAAAAATTTCCGCAGTATGTACGAAAATTTCTTCGAGTGATACTTTTACCTTAGCAATACCTTAGTTTCAATCGATCAACGTGAAATTCCGCTTATAATTTTATATTTATAATATATTTAAATTTATAATTTGATTAGTTCCCATCGACTCAAAAAATTTTAATGTAAAAAAAATTCCTGAAAACATTTGAGTTTACAACAAATTTTTAAAATTACAATACATGCAAAATTATGATCAAGAAAACGAATGATAAACACTTGAGAAAGAAAAAGACTGCTTGATTATGGAAATCAAAATGGAAGAAAGCAAAAATATATTATATTATTCTTAATAATAATTGATATTGAAAAATTATACCATAAGTTGGGCAAATACTCAGCAAAAGAACTTTAAATCTGATGACCATTTTGACTCATGAATTCATTTGTTGCCATAATAAATATAAATAAGACAATTAACGAAAGAAAGAAAAACTTTTGCTTTCAGATTAACCTAGAAACTTTTGCTCTTCAGATTAGCCTAAACCATGATCCTCGAAAAAGCCTTGAGGCGTTTCTTCCTGAAGTAAGTCTCAGTCAGATTAAGGGAATGAAAGTTGCAAAAGAAAAAGGCAACTCAATTCTTAAAAATCACCCTTATTTCATCCATTCACTTGTTATATTTAGAAACTTTTTTTTGAAATAAAATGCATATGCATAAAACCACAATTTTTTAAAATCGAATAAAACAACAAAGAGAAATGGATGAAATTTGTCTATTCATTTTATCCAATTGAAAAAATAAAAATTAAAAATAAAATAATAGTAAAATGGGTGAAAATGGGTTTTAACACTATAATAACTGAAAACAAAAACGCTTCTACAGTTTCAAAACTTCTTTACAGTAAACAGTTGACAATGCACAAATAGCTATGCAAGAATGCAGTATATAAAATTTAAAATTTAAAAATTCAGATGCTGTAAAAAAATAACCTCTTGTATGAGATCCTGCGCAGCGATTGCTTTTAAAACCTGCTTTTTACTCGTCTCTTGAATCTCACCAGCCAAAATAAATTCATCCAGAATAAAATAAGCTTTCTCGAAATTGAAAATTATATCTAACTCACAAACCTAAAAAAATTATCAAGAAATTATTTGGTAACTGACTGCAATTCATACCATAAATAAAGGATATTGCTTAATTTCATTTAATGCTAAACCAATACTAGTTAGAAATTTTGAAGGAAAGTTGAAGAATATACTAAATTAATGGATAATGGATATAACAATTATTTTAACTCAAATTGACAATGCAGAAAAAGTTTGATAATTAAATAAATAATGAAAATCAAAATAAAAAAAGAAAATTTCAAAAAAAGACGGATTAAAATTACGCTGCCGAAATATTTGTCTAGAAGTTCCACATAACGATGAATAATTTCTAAACAAAGCAATTCATTGTCATTTTGTTCAATTGCACAACAAAAGTATAATGAAGCGTACCTAAAGACAACTAACAAAAAATACCACATTTCTATAAACTAATTACTTTCGTAAAGAAATATAATTTAAAAAGAAGTGCCAAAAACTAAATTTTAATTTAATTTAAAAACCCAAAGGCTCAAAAACATTAAACAGATCAAAAACACCTTTTATATACAATTTTCAAATCTTTATATTCCAGAAAGGCACACATTTTCGGCTTTCTAGCCAATATTGTCGTCACTAATTCACGAGTGATTTTCTTTTTCATCTGAAAGAATTCAAAAATGAATTATTTAAAATGTTATTGCCAACAAAGGAGAACCAACCTTATCGTGATAAGCCACATACCATTTCTGTAATCGCAATTTACCTTGACGACTGAACAGAAGCATAAATTGCATCATCTTCAAAAATTAATCGTTGAAATTTGTTTTCCTATATTTATCGCTTTATCGTAAACACTTTATTAGTAGAACTGAATTAAATAATAGGGAGTTAGTGCTCATCATTTCTGGTTAGGTTAGCTGAGTTGTGATACGGGTAGAGATTTTTGCCAAGGAGTCACAGGTTAGTCACCCGCATAATTCAAATTTTTCAAGGCAGATTCGGTCAGCCCTCTATTAACTCCTATCGAAGATAAAAGCCGAACCCTAGTCTCTCAATCAAAACGGTATTACTCGCTCAATAATATTCCTCTACCATCACTTTTACTGCTTAATGTTTTGTTCTGTTGTTAGGGGACGGTCGACTGATTAAATCGACTTCTTTGCGGCCATTGTTTCGCTTTCGCTTTAACATAAATAATATTCATTGACGGCCACTGCTTATTTATTTAAATCCGCTAACCACTCATAACATTTTTACTTTCACAGCTTTCGCGTATCTGAATTTTGCATTAACAGAGTTTGAAAAGTTGGAACTTTCTTCGATATTTCAATTTAATGCTCATAAATTAAAAGGCATTCTTCCCAACCGACGCTCTGCGGTTATCGGATGATCACGTGCGCCACGCATTGGCGTCAAATGCTGCGTGGTCGGAAAAGCACGTGGCAATTCCAATGTCGAATATTTTACTCCATTTCATCGGTCTCATTTAATCGGAATTTCTTGGAATTTAATGAATAACTTCCATTTAAAAAATAAGAATAAAGAAATTCGGCGCACAATTTATCCACAAAAAACAGATTTCCACCGGGAAATCATTAGCTATGCAATTTAGCAGCTGGCAATGTGCCAATTTTCAATTTTTGCGCCAATATAAATTTAGATTTTTTTGAAGTTATAATGTTAAGGTTAACTAACCCTCTTACCTAGTTGATGCAAATATGAGAAAAGCTTAAATTTTTTTTTAAGAGCCTCACCACTACTGGTTGGACTGCTCCACTGGCTTGCCGGACTAGACAAATGTGCCAGGGAGTCCCTTGGCGAAAGAAGTGCAGGTGAGAGGCCAGCATCACCTGGATTTTTGGACAAGTTTTCCCGCCGAGTATTAGAGGGTAGAATCGGTCCGAATTAAGCAACAGCCCACGGAGCCATTTACTCTTCTTTGCTTTTCTCCTTTAGACGACAGTGCTGCCCGACGAAGAGTGGTGTACCTGCGGATACGAACCTAAGCCTCAGTTCTCGCGGCAGTTATCTTGCCATTGATCCAATGACTCCCAGTGTCTAATCAATATTATGATAACGATCATTTGTGGAAGAAATCTAAGGTTTTCATCATTTGCACAATTGCTTTAAACAAGCGACTGAGTATATTCTCTCACTTGAATCATTAGATGACTGCCAAATCGGCGTAATTCTATAAGAATTGGGTATTGCCATTACTTATACTCACTGGTACATTGTTTACTTAGGAACAAAAAGTAAAAAAAAGTTATAAACGTAAAGGAGCTATAGATATAAGCAGTTTATCACCACTCAAGACCTATGCAAATCAGGCCAGAGCATGCCATTACACATTGAATGCGCTGATGATGTCATTCCACTAGCAACAACGATGAACTACTACAGGAGTTAGACCTGTGTCGATAGCAGTAGCTAAAATTGTCCTCTGTCTATAACACGCATTATATCGTCCTATACAGGCGTGAAACAGGACCTGTGAGAGTGGAAGAAATAGCAAGGAATGTCTACAAAGATATAAGGAATTCTACGTTTGACCATTCTTTACCCATTTCTTCTCGCAGATAAAGTCTCAATGATTGCATCCACCTTTGTTTTTATTCGACATTATCGATGGTGTCACCTATTCTAATTTGGGCTGTTTTGTCCGTTGTATACTTCAGGAATTGATGCATATTTGTGCAAAATCTTGTGATGAATAATTTCGAAAGCAAGAAGACCATCAATCAAAATCGGAAAGGACATATATGGAATTTTGAAGTGATAGACAGTCGAGCGACTTACAAACTTGTGCGATGAATAAAAGAGCGACTACACTTGGTTTCAAGCATCGGATCATAAGGCTTAATCTAAGTGGGGTTAGCAAAACTATAAAATAGTACGAGTTGCTAGAAGAAAAAAAAAGAAACATTATGGGTTGAAGCAACTCTACCAAAAATCAATTTCCAGAAGCCTTTATTAGATTTTAAAAATATTCATTTCTTACGAAATTTTCAAAAAAATGAAAAATTTGCACAATTAATCCAAAAATTCATAAAAAATAAGTCATAAATAAGGAATAGTCGAGTGGCAATCGTTTGTACTAAGGTTAAGCAATCATATTTGTGTTCTTGACGATAGTAAATTAAACGCGATGGTGCTGGAGACCCATCTAAACTCCCATCCTCCAACATTTTTTTGGCAATAGAGATATCCTAGCCCAGAGTCAGCCAAATCGAAGTGCTTTTGAAACAATGAGTTTATCGTAGTAAAACAGCTTTTTCGCATTAAACATTAAATTTGAAAATATGAAATCTAAACGTATCAATTTGATAAAATTACTTCATTTAAATTTTTTTAAATTTATAAATTTATAGTTATAAATTTAGAATTATTAAATTTATTCCTTACTTTTGTAATTTTTATCGTAAGATTTTCAGATAAAGAAAAAATTTGTCATAAATTGCAAGTAAATATTATATCATTTTTGCACTATGTTGGCACTTCCTGATGGCCTACAAATAGATACCGATTGTCAATCATAATTTTATCATAATTTTTTTTTCGTTTATTTGTGATCAAGTTCAAATCTGACTAAATTCATAAATAGAACTGACAATAAATGTGAATGAATCTGGCAGAAACTATTACAAGAAGTTAAGAAGTTAAAATAAAAATCAAAAAATCGAGGACCAAAACGTTTTTTGATGTTTGAATAAAAAAAGTTGAAATATAGCTTTTTTAGAGAATTTTGCTTAAATGGTTTAAATCATTTTTTTTCATGTAATATGCGATGAAATCTAAACAACATAATGGAGACTGGAATGCATTTTTGAAGAAAATAGAGCGGTTATTTCAATGTGTATTAATTTTATGTGTGTGTTTTTCTATAGCTTTCGTGGAAGAAATCATCTGCTATCAGCTTCTTATCAAATACCATATGATTTAGATGAAATTCTTCGAAATATTTTAATTCTATATTCATTTATTTAGAAAAATATGATTCAACACTTCGTTTTTTAATTCATGTGAAACACTTCACATGAATTAATCGTTTGTCTGAAAGAAAAAGAAAAGCATATCAAGTTTATTATAAAAATTTACTGCAAAAAACTGATTTACAGCTGATTATTTTCAGACGTGAATTTTTACAGTGTGCTTCAGATCTGTTAGTGATAATAGTGGCTTTCTAGTTCTTCTAGGTCCCAAGCAAAGTACATGAAATTCTTCGAAATATTTTAATTCTATGTTTATTTATTTAGAAAAATTTCTAAACAGAGCGATGAACACTGATGCTACGAATGTGCTTATAATTAGTGCCGCTTAACAAGCTTTAGTGATGGAAACATAAGTAAAATAGGCAAGAAAAATTAATTGAGACCTATTGAAATTATTTAAAGATATTTTAAATATTTATATACATTTCAGCTTTAACTTTAATTTTACTCTTCATCAAACAATTGCTGGTTTGGCAGGCTCCATGGGTGACGATGATTAAGTGCTTTCAAGATTCCGTATCCGAAGTTTGGAACTGATTGAAGTCACTCCTTTTTCCTCAATTTAAGTCTTTTTATCGCTGTTCCGTCTATTTGTTCAAAACTTTTGCTAATCATGTAGACTCAAGGCATAATTCATTTCTCCTTATTTTTGCCACACTGTATTCGCCACAAAATTTAGTATTTAATTTCATTACTACAGGTAAATCAAAAAAATCAAAAAAAAACTTTTTTTTATTACGTTCCATTCATTTTACAAAAATATTTCGGTATTGTAAAATGGTTGTCACACTTAAACAAAAAAAACTACGGTGTACGTCAAATAGTCTTCATATTAAAATATTTAGATCGTCAATAATTATTTGAATTGTCGAAAAAAAAATTGTCCACAAAATTGTGATTTAAGGAACGAAAAAAAAACAAGTGTAATATGATCATATTTCGATTCATAAAATGGTGAAAAACTTAGGTAAATTTGTCTTTTTTAAAACTTGACAGCGATTATAGAAATTAATTATGTTAGAGTGAGAGGCATATAAAATACATTTATAATAAAAATTAAAGTATCATTAACCTCATCTTTATTACATAAGGAAAATTTTTTAGTTGTCTAAGCTTAATTATTGCTTAAACCAGTTCGATTTATTGACTATATAAGGTACGCAATTTTCGAGTGGAATGCAGAATACTTGTTTTTAGCTATGAGAACCGTCTTCATTTTCGTCTTGCTAGTGGTTACTACCATTGCGAAATCATGTTAGTAAATTCTTTTCTTACTTCTTGAACTTTCTTTTAACTTTCTAACTTCCTTCATCAATTTCTTTCATTATTTAATTATTTTTTCATGTATTAAGATCCTCATAATAAATTTTCGAGTTGTTGCGGTGCAGGGCCACATTCAATGGAATTGAATTTGGTGACTCTTTTTTAATATTTATTTATTCTCCCATGTTTATTCATTTGTATCTCCTCACCATTTGTGATAACTATAAATCAGTGCAACTTATGAAGTACAATAAGTTTGGCATATTGATTTTGCTTTAGCTGAATTACTGATAAGTTAATTTTTAATCAAATGATTATTTATAAGAATGTGAGGAGAAACAAAGGATGAAATTATGAATACATTCGTAACCAGTCGCTTGTATCTGGAAAAAGGAATGGCTTCTATTACTACTAACTGACTAGATGACGTCGGACCGAGCAGCTTAGAGACGTCTTACCCCTGTAGTCAGCCTAAAGAAGAAGATGTCTCAGAAATTATAAATCAGGGAATCTAAATCGGAGATTATTTAATAACATACATGCTAACTAACAGTTCAAAGGCATCTTCATTAACTTCAATTTAAAGAATCTAATAATGCATAATTAAAAATCTAGAAAATTATTTCAGTGCATAAACGTAACAATCAATATGGTGATGAACCAATCTCTATATTAACTCCTTCTTCAAAAGGTTATGATGCAGGCGCACTACCAGAAGAAGCTCCAGCAGCAATTCCTACTTCCAGAATTCCTGCCCCGTCGCTTCCGCCAGTTGAATCAAGCGGCTATCGCAAGAAAAGAAACAATCAATATGGTGATGAGCCAGCGCCACCAACTGAAGTGATTAAGCCAGGTGGTTATGAGGAGCAAGCAGAAGAAGCACCTGCACCAATTGAACAACCAGCTTATGAACCACCAGCAGTTGAATCAAGTGTCTATCGCGCATAATTAAAATTTCCATTTATTTAATTTTAATTAATTTAATTAATTATTTAATTTTAAATTTTTTTCAGCAAATCAATGAAAAATTCGTTTTTTTAAGACAAATTTTTAATAAACGAAGAATAATTCTTGAAGTTCTATAGAACAAAACGCAAATAAAACATTATTTTGCTCAAATTTTTCAATCTATTTTTTCAATTTTCAAATTATTTTTTTTCAAAACCCATAAGCAAGTATTTATTAAATTAAAAGTTAAACGTAAATTTTAAAAATAATGTTGCAGTTAATAGCAATATTGCTATTTAGTTTCTCCCTTTTTTCTCTCAAAATTGCTATCTGCTTCTTCTTCTAACAGCTCTCCATTACTGGTTAGGCTGGCTCCAACGGCTACAAAGATAAGACGCTTTCAAGCGGCGCGGTCATGATGCCATCGTCGACAGTAATGGAAGCCATTCCTTTTTCCATCGTCTAAGTCCATATATTGCTGGTCCATCTACACGTTAAAAATCTTTTCTCACCGTATCAGTCCAGGCTTTGATTGGCCCACCTAGCTTTTGGCGGTAACCATCACACGGTTTAACAAATAACGAAACATGCGTCAACTCCTGTGGTGCACGACGGAGAATGTGCCCTAACCAGCGAAGACGGCGCTCCGTGATAACATTATTTATGCAAGTGGTATTTGAAGGAAGATGGATGCGATCATGTGATAT